TCCCCCTGTGTCCCGTTCCAGCTGTTTGGAATTCCTGCTGGATAACGGTGCTGACCCTTCCCTGCGGGACAAGCAGGGCTACACCGCCGTCCACTACGCGGCCGCCTACGGCAACAGGCAGAACCTGGAGCTGGTGAGCGGCTCCGGGGGCTGGGAGAGAGGGAAAATCCACTGGGAAAGAGGGAAAATCACCCAGGAGAGAGGGAAAATCCTCAGAGAGAGGGAAAATCCCCCGGGAGAGAGGGAGAATCCTCCTGGGAGAGAGGGAAAATCCTCTGGGAGAGAGGGAGAATCCTCCTGGGAGAGAGGGAAAATCCCCTGGAGAGAGGGAAAATTCTCCGGGAGAGAGGGAAAATCCCCCAGGAAATGAGGGAAAATCCTCTGGGAGAGAGGGAAAATCCCCCGGGAGAGAGCGAAAATCACCCAGGAGAGAGGGAAAATCACCTGGGAGAGAGGGAAAATCACCAGGAGAGAGGAAAAATCACCCAGGAGAGAGGGAAAATCACCAGGAGAGAGGAAAAACCACCCAGGAGAGAGGGAAAATCACCAGGAGAGAGGAAAAACCACCAGGAGAAAGGGAAAATCACCCGGGAGAGAGGGAAAATCCCCTGGAGAGAGGGAAAATCCCCTGGGAGAGAGGGAAAATAACCCGGGAGAGAAGGAAAATCCCCTGGGAGAGAGGGAAAATCACCTGGGAAAGGGAAAATCCTCCAGGAGAGAGGGCAAATCCGCTGGGAGAGAGGGCAAATAACCCGGGAGAGAGGGAAAATCACCCTGGAGAGAGGGAAAATCCCCCCAGAGAGGGAAAATTCCCCAGGAAAGAGGTAAAATCCCTCAGAAATCCCCCCCAGGAGAGAGGGAAGATCTCAGGAAAAGAGGGAAAATCCCTCAGAAATTCTCCCCAGGAAAGAGAGAAAATCCCTCAGGAAAGAGGGAAAATCCCAGGAAAAGAGGGAACAGGTGGCACTGGGGGAGAAAATGCCCCTTAGGAGAGAGGGAAAATCCCTCAGAAATTCTCCCCAGGAAAGAGAGAAAATCCCTCAGGAAAGAGGGAAAATCCCAGGAAAAGAGGGAAAATCCCCAGGAAAAAGAGAAAATACCCCTTAGGAGAGAGGGAAAATCCCTCAGAAATCCCCTCAGGAAAGAGGGAAAACCCCTGTAAAAAAGAGAAAATCCCTCCAAGAAAGAGGGAAATCCTGAACTGGAGAGAAAAGTCAGATCTGTCAACCTGGAATAGAGAGAAAGAAGGGGAATAAGAGTCCGGAAAAACGGGATTTGGGGAGCTCCACATCCCGAATTTTGGCTGTTTGGGGTGGGAGAAGCTCTGGGAGCAGCTCTGGAGTTGCTTTGGCCGTTGCAGCTCCTGGAAATGTCGTTCAACTGCCTGGAGGACGTGGAGAGCAGCGTCCCCGTCAGCCCTTTGCACTTAGCTGTGAGTGCCTGCAGGTCCTGCAAGGGCCTGGGGGGTCCCAGGAGGGTCCTGGAAGGGTCTTGGGAGGGTTCTGGAAGGGTTTCCAGAATGTTCTGGGCTTCTGCAGGTCCTGGAAGGGCTCTGGGGTTGTCCTGGGATTGTCTTCGGTTCTTCCTGGGAGGTTCTTGGGGTCCTGGGAGGGTCCTGGAAGGGTTCTGGGGGTTCTGGAAGGGTTCTGGGGGTGCTGGGAGGGTCCTGGAAGGGTTTCCAGAATATCCTGGGCTCCTGCAGGTCCTGGAAGGGTGCTGGGGGAGACATTTCTGGGAGGGTCATTTTTGAGTGCCTGAGGGACACATTTTTGGATACCTGGGGGACACTCTGGATTCCTGAGGGACACAGGGTACCTGAGGGACACTCTGGATGCCTGGGGGACATTTCTGGATGCCTTGGGGACACTCTGGGTGCCTGAGGGACATTTTTGGATACCTGGCTGTCCCTCTGGGTACCTGGGTGACACTCTGGGTGCCCGAGGGACATTTTTGGATACCTGGGGGACACTCTGGCTACCCAAAGGACACTTTGGCTGCCCAGGTGACCCTCTGGATGCCTGAGGGACATTTCTAGGTACCCCAGGGACACTCTGGGTGCCTGGGGGACATTTTTGGATACCTGAGAGACACTCTGGGTACCCAAGGGACACTCTGAGTGCCTGGGTGACATTTCTGGGTACCTGAAGGACACTCTGCGTGCTTTGAGGGCACTCTGGGTGCCCGGGGGACACATTTTTTTGGATACTTGGGTGACACTCTTTGTGCCTGGGTGACATTTTTGGATACCTGGGTGACACTCTTTGTGCCTGGGTGACATTTCTGGACACCTGGCTGTCCCCTGGCTGCCCCCCGGGTGTCCCATCCTCTCCCCACCGTGCCCACAGGCCTACAACGGTCACTGTGAAGCGCTGAAGGCGCTGGCCGAGACTCTGGTGAACCTGGACGTGCGGGACCACAAGGGCCGCACCGCGCTCTACCTGGCCACGGAGCGCGGCTCCAGCGAGTGCGTGCAGGTGCTCACCAGCCACGGCGCCTCCGCCCTGCTCAAGGAGAGGAAGAGGAAGTGGACGCCTCTCCACGCTGCAGGTGAGCCCCAGCCCAAACCTGCGGGGTCAGCTCCTTCCTGTCCCTGCGCTGCGGCGTTCTGACTTTTCTTGTGCTGCTTTTCCTCGGCCCTGTTTTACTTATGCTGTTTGTCCTTGTCCCTCTTTTCCTTGTCCCTCTTTTCTTTATCCCATTTGTCCTCATCCCTCTTCTCCTCACCCCTGTTTTCCTTATCCACCTTCTTATCCCTCTTTTCCTCGTCCCTCTTTTCCTCGTCCCTCTTTTCCTCTTCCCTCTTTTCTTTATCCCATTTGTCCTCGTCCCTCTTTTCCTCATCCTTCTTTTCCTCTTTCCTCTTTATCCCATTTGTCCTCGTCCCTCTTTTCCTTGTTCCTCTTTTCCTTACCCCTGTTTTCCTTTTGCCATTTGTCCTTATCCCGCTTTTTCTCATCCGTCTTTTCCTCATCCCTCTCTTCCTCATCCATCTTCTCATCCCTCTTTTCCTTATTCCATTTGTCCTCATCCCTCTTTTCCTTGTCCCTCTTCTTCATCCCTCTTTTTCTCATCCATCTTTTCCTCATCCATCTTCTCATCCCTCTTTTCCTCATCCTTCTCTTCCTCATCCTTCCCTTCCTCATCCATCTCTTCCTCATCCCTCTTTGTGACACTCTTCTTTTTCTCATCCCTCTTTTTCTCATCCCTCTTTTCCTCATCCCTCTTTTCCTCATCCCTCTTTTTTCATCCCTCTTTTCTTTCTTTTTTCATCCCTGATTTCCTCATCCCTTTTCCTCATCCTTCTTTTCCTCATCCCATTTTTCCTCATCCCTCATTTCCTTATCCCTCTTTTCCTCATCCCTATTTCCTAACTCCTCTTTCCCTCTCATTTCCTCATCCCACTTTTTCTCATCCTTCTTTTCCTCATCCCATTTTTCCTCATCCCTCATTTCCTCATCCCTCTTTTCCTCCTCCCTCATTTCCTCCTCCCATTTTTCCTCCTCCCCATTTCCCGCTCCCCCCGTCCAGCTGCCAACGGGAACACGGATTCCCTGCACCTCCTGATCGACAGCGGCGAGCGGGCCGACATCACCGACGTCATGGACATCCACGGCCAGTGAGTGCCAGGGCCCCCAAAGCCACTGCGGGATCGGGGAGGGAATTGGGATGGGAATTCCCAGGATGAGAGAAGGGCTGGGAGAGATCCCGCAGCGAGCTCCAGCGCAGGCTGGAATTTGGGATGTTCAGTGAGCGAGTTGGATTTGATACTGATAAAATAATCAGGGTGATGAGAGAGAAAATGCTTTAGAAGCGGCTTCTCCTCGCTCTTCCCAGCTCCTCCTCCTTCCCAAGGGAGCGGGGAGATGGAATGGGCTGTGCTGGGTTCATCCCACATTCCCTGGTTCCTGCTCAAATGTCTGATCCCAGAGGTGTCAGCACCATTCCTGATTGTCCCTCACCATGATTCCTGATTACCCCTCACCATTCCAAATTATCCCTCACCACCATTCCTTATTGTTCTTCACCACCATTCCCAATTATCCCTCGCCACCATTCCTGATTATCCCTCACCACCATTCCCGATTATCCCTCACTAGCATTCCTGATTGTCCCTCACTATCAGTCCTCATTATCCCTCACCACCATTCCCGATTATCCCTCACTATCATTCCTGATTGTCCTTCACCACCATTCCTGATTGTCCTTCACCACCATTCCCAATTACCCCTCATCATTTCAAATTATCCCTCACCACCATTCCCAGTTATCCCTCACCACCATTCCTGATTGTTCTTCACCACCATTCCTGATTGTTCTTCACCAGCATTCCCGATTATCCCTCACCATTCCCAATTATTCCTCACCAGCATTCCCAATTATCCCACACCACCATTCCTGATTGTCCCTCACTATCGTTCCTGATTATCCCTCACCACCATTCCTGATTGTCCTTTACCACCATTCCCAATTACCCCTCATCATTTCAAATTATCCCTCACCACCATTCCCGATTATCCCTCGCCATTCCCGATTATCCCTCGCCATTCCCGATTATCCCTCGCCATTCCCGATTATCCCTCGCCATTCCCGATTATCCCTCGCCATTCCCGATTATCCCTCGCCATTCCCGATTATCCCTCGCCATTCCCGATTATCCCTCGCCATTCCCGATTATCCCTCGCCATTCCTGTGTCCGCCGATTACCCCAGAAGCAGAACCGCAATCCCAACCAGCCGCAGCTGCCTCTGCTGGCCAAGGGGGTGACGCTTCCAGCAGCTCCCAACACCTTCCCAGGCTGTTCCTGGGAGCAGCATTCCCGGGGAATCCTGGAATTCTGCAGCCAGCCCCTTTTCCCGGCGGCAGGACCCCGCTGATGCTGGCCATCATGAACGGCCACGTGGACTGCGTCCACCTCCTGCTGGAGAAGGGATCCACGGCCGACGCCGCCGACAAGAGGGGCCGCACCGCGCTGCACCGAGGGGTGAGGAGACAAAAAAACCCCAAATTTCCCTTCTGGAGATGTGGAATTAGGGGGAAAACACGGGTAAAAAGGCCAGAAATGTGCTGTTGTGTTGGACAGCGCTCTCGTTTAATAGGGAAATTAATAGGGAAGTAGGATAAGGTTTATTTTCACGTCTGAAATTTAATTTTTTGAGGGTGCAGCTCTCACTGCTTTGTTTTGGTTGGTGTACTGGTTTAGGGCAAATTTGGGATAGAACTTCCAAATAGGAGTCCCCCCAAAAAAGCAAATTAAAGCTGCCCCTCACAGTTTGGTCATTTTACTAGAGGTGCTTTGTGTCTCTTTTTAGATATTATTTGTGGGGTTTTTTTGTTTTTTAATGATTTGAGATAGTTTTTTATAGGTGCTTAGGTTGTGTAAACAACCTTTCTGTAGGTTATTACAGCCTTGGAATTGTTTCTTACAGTCTTAGAATTGTTTCTTACAGTCTTAGAATTGTTTCTTATGAGAAACGAGCTGTTTTCTACTCTTAGGGATTTCATTCCTATAAAAGCTGGTAATTCTTTAGGGGTACAGAATTTAGTCTGTGAGGCTGTCCTGGTTTAGGACAAATTTGGGAAGAAGCCTCCACATGGGGTCCCTCCAGAAATCAAATCCAACTGGTTGGGGAAAAGATTTCCTGGGAGAAAAGTGGAAAAAACCAGTTTATTTAACAAGCGTAAAGACGGAATAATATTAATAATTATTAATTAATTAATAATATTAATAATAATACCTCTCACAGTTCTGAGGAGATGGCAAATTCAGGAAGTCCTTTTCGTCAGGGGTTGCTTTGCTTGGCTCACTCAGGCTCTGTTCAGTTCCTCTGGTGCTGGAATGCAGCTCCCAGGCCCTGCTGAGCTCCAGGTGGGAGCTCCGGTGCTTTTCTGGGTTTTCAGTCCAGAGCAGCTTTGAACAGATCCAAGAAAAGGAAAAACTTGTAAAAACTAAAAGCAAAGGAGAGCTCTGTCCTGTGTCTGTGCTGCAGAGCAGAATGCAAAGAAGTGAGTACAGCTTCTGGTAACATAAAATGACAAGCGGAGTCACCATCCCTGGATGTTTTTATAAAAAGCCTGGATGTGCAGAGGTTTGGTTGAGGTGTCAGGGCTGCACTCAATGACCTCGAGGGTCTCTTCCAAGGCGGTAATTCCCTGAATTCCATGGATGCAGGCCGTGACAGGCTGTGAGGATTGCCTGGCTGCTCTGCTGGACCACGATGCCTTCGTCCTGTGCCGGGATTTCAAGGGCCGGACCCCGATCCACTTCGCCTCGGCCTGCGGCCACCTGGAGGTGCTGCGGACGCTGCTGCAGGCCGCGCTCTCCACGGACCCGCTGGACTCGGTGGTGGACTACAGCGGCTACTCGCCCATGCACTGGGCTTCTTACAGTGGTGAGAGCCTCCCTCCTCTTCCTCATCCTGATCCTCGCCTCCCGCGGTTCTGCTGCTGGGAAAGATGGCAGGAATCGCTTCGCTCCCCCCTGCCAGGGTCCTGAGAGAAGGGGGAGGTTTTAAAATGGGGAGATGGGTTTTAGGGTGGCTGCGTGACTGGGAGGCCGTCAGGGCGTGTGTGGGGTTAAAAGCCTCCTCAGGCTGCTGCCAGCGGGGAAATGGATTCTCTGGGAAGGGTTGGATGCTTCTTTTGGGCCTCTGGATTTTTGGGAAGCTCTTTTGTCCTGCTGAGGCCCCTCCAGCGCTGGGTGCAGCTCTGGGCTGCTGGAAATGTGAGGGGACAAAAAGGGTGGGAGACATGAGGGGAGGAAATAACAGGAAAGGTGAAGGGAAAAGGGTGGGAAATGTGAGGGGAAAAGAGCAGGAAAAGTGAGGGGAGAAAAGAGCGGGAAATGTGAGGGGAGAAAAAGGGCGGGAAATGTGAGGGGAGAAAAAGCGGGAAACATGAGGGGAGAAAAAGAGCGGGAAACATGAGGGGACAAAAAGGGCAGGAAACGTGAGGGGAGAAAAAGAGCGGGAAACGTGAGGGGAGAAAAAGAGCAGGAAACGTGAGGGGAGAAAAAGAGCGGGAAACGTGAGGCCACAGGGACATTGAGGGGCTGCAGCGTGGCCAGAGCTGGGGAAGGGCTGGAGCAGCAGGAGAAGGCTCTGGAGAAGTCCTGAGGGGGCTGGGCAAGGGCTGGGCCTGGAGAAAAGGAGGCTCAGGAGGGATCTTTTCACCCCACACCTCCCTGATGGGAGAGTGGGGCTGGGCTCTGCTCCCAGGGAACACCGGCATGAGAAGGAACAGCCCCAGATTCCTCCAGGAGAGGTTCAGGATGGGACAGCAGGAGGATTTTTTCCATGGAAAAGGCTGTCAGGCTTTGGAGCTGCCCAGGGAGGTTTGGAGTCCCCATCCCTGGAGGTGCCTGAGGAAGGATTTTGGAAGCAGCAAGCGAGGGATGGGGAAGGGGATGGGGAGGATTTGGGGAGCAGCCAGTGATGGATGGGAATGATTTAGGAAGCACCAGGTACGGAATGGGAAGGATTTGGGAATTACCAAGCAAGGGATTGGTTTGAAGTCTCCATCCCTGGAGGTGTCCAGGACATGGCACTTGGGGCTGGGGATCGTTCCCAGCTTGGACTCAATGCTTTTCCAACCTCTGGGATTGTGGGATTCAGTGGGAAAACTGCTCCAAGCCTGTCCCTCTCTCCTCAGGGCACGAAGATTGTCTTGAATTGTTACTTGAACACAACCCGTTTGCGTACCTAGAAGGAAACCCCTTTACTCCATTGCACTGTGCAGTGTAAGTGACACCCCAAAAACAATTCCAAGCCTGGGGGGCCCTGAAAAGGGAGTTTTACCCCAGAAATTCCAGGTCTTGGAGCCTCTGGGATGTGCTGAAAAGGGAGTTTTACCCCAAAAATAATTCCAACAATTCCAGGCCTTGGAACCTCTGGGATGTGCTAGAAGGGGAATTTTATCCCAGAAATAATTCCAGGCCTTGGAGCCTCTGAAGGAGGAGTTTTATCCCAAATAACTGAAGGCCTTGGAGCCCCTGGGATGTGCTGAAAGGGGATTTTTACCACAGAAATTCCAGGTTTTGGAACCTTCGGGATGTGCTGAAAGGGGAATTTTAACTCAAAAATAATTCCAACTATTCCAGGCCCTGGAGCCCCTGGGATGTGCTAAAAGGTGATTTTTACCTCAATAAATAATTCCAGGCCTTGAAGCCTCTGAAAGGGATGTTTTCCCCAAAAAATAGCTGAAATCCTTGGAGCCCCTGAATGTTCTGCTGTCAGCCCAGACCTGCCCAGCCCTTTCCTAACTTCCCTTCTCCTCCTGTTCCCGCAGAATTAACAACCAGGACGGCACTGCTGAAATGCTGGTGGAAGCATTAGGTGCCAAGATTGTTAATAGCAGAGATGCCAAAGGAAGGTGAGCATGGCTCTGGACAGAGTTAAAGGAATAAAACAGGGATTTATTAAAAAAACACGTGGGCAACAATGAGCCCGGAGTTTTCACACTTTGATAAGTTTTGGTGCATTTCCAAATTCAAAATTCCATTTGCATATTGGGGTGAATCGTGCAATTACAGCTCCAGGTGGTGGAGTCCCATCCTCCCAGTTTGCTGTCCTCAATTCCACTTTAATAATTCCAGGCCTTGGAGCCCCTGGGATGTGCTGAAAGAGGAGTTTTACCCCAAAAATAATTCCAGCAATTCCAATCCTTGGAGGCTCTGGGATGTGCTAAAAGGGGATTTTTACCCCAAAAATAATTCCAATCCTTGAAGCCCCTGGGATGTGCTGAAAGGGAATTGTTACCCCAAAAATAATTCCAACAATTCCAGGCCTTGGAGCCTCTGGGATGTGCTGAAGGAGGAGTTTTACCCCAAAAATAATTCCAGAAATTCTAATCCTTGAAACCTCTGGGATGTGCTGAAAGGGAATTGTTACCCCAAAAATAATTCCAGCAATTCCAGGCCTTGAAGCCCCTGGGATGTGCTGAAAGAGGTGTTTTACCCCCAAAATAATTCCAGTCCTTGGAGGCTCTGGGATGTGCTAAAAGGGGATTTTTACCCCAAAAACCAATGTCAAACATTTTTAACAGCGTTTAACAGCTCCGTGTTTAACCCAGCGTTTCTAACCAGTTTTTAACCCCAGCACTAAATCACTGCTCGCACTTCACACGAATTTAGAGTTAACCACCAATGCAAAAATGAGGAAAACACAAAAGGAACCCCAGAGCATTTCCCTGCTGCTGACCCCAGCCCTGGCTGGGTTTTTTTGTTTTTTTGGCTTCCCCAGGACACCCCTTCACGCTGCTGCCTTCGCAGACAACGTCCATGGTTTACAGCTGCTGCTGCGCCACCAGGCCGAGGTGGACACCCCGGACAAGCTGGGCAGGACCCCCCTCATGGTGGCTTCGGAGAACGGGCACACGGCAGCAGTGGGTGGGTGCCACGGGGACACAGCTGTGCTCCTCACCTGGGGGGTGTTTTTGGGCTCTTCCTCACCTCCTCTTCCTCCTCCTCCTCGTTGCAGAGTTCCTGCTGTTCCAAGCGAAAGCGAATATTACTGTGCTGGATGTCAACAAGAACACAGCTCTTCACCTGGCCTGCAGCAAGGTGGGGACAGGGTTAAGGGTTGGTTTTACCCCCAAATAACTCCGGGTCTTGGAAACTCTGGGATGTGCTGAAAGGGGTTTTTATAACCCAGAAATTCCAGGCTTTGGAATCATTGGGATGTGCTGAAAGGGGAGTTTTACCCCAAAAATAATTCTAGCAATTCCAGGCCTTGGAATGTCTGGGATGTGCTGAAAGGGGTTTTTATACCCCAGAAATTCCAGGCTTTGGAATCATTGGGATGTGCTGAAAGGGGAGTTTTACCCCAAAAATAATTCTAGCAATTCCAGGCCTTGGAATGTCTGGGATGTGCTGAAAGGGGAGTTTTACCCCAAAAATAATTCCAGCTATTCCAGGCCATGGAGCCCCTGGAAGGGGAGTTGTACCCCAGAAATTCCAGGCCTTGGAGCCCCTGGGATGTTTTACCCCAGAAAGTCTGGTCTGGGTGGCACCTCCAGGCGTCCCCCTGGGCAGTTTTGGCTCTCTGTGCTTTTCCTGGGGAGCTCCTCTCTGAATTTCCAGGCTCATTTCCATGCCTGGCTGGGTTGGACGGGGCTGGGAGCAGCCTGGGATGGTGGGAGGTGATTGGGATGAGTTTGTGGGACATCATCTGGATGAAGGGAAGGCTCCAGGGAGAACTTCCAGTGCCCAGAGGGGCTCCGGGAAATCTGGAGAGTGACTTTGGAGCGATGGGACAGCTGGGAATGACCACAGTGACACAAGGCAGGGCTAGGTGGGATTTTGGGAAGAAACTCCTCTCTGTGAGGGCCTGGAATGGATTTCCCAGAGGTTTCCCCATCCCTGGAAATGTCCAAGGCCAGCTTGGCCGTGGTTTGGAGCAGCCTGGGCTGGTGGCAGAGGGGATTTTTATGGTCACTCCCAACCCGAGCCCTGCGGTCACTTTGTCCACGCCAAAGCAGAAAAGGTGGAGGGACAACCTCTGCCAAGGTGACCTGTGGGAGGAGGACAGGTGCAGGGAATGATTCCACATCCACATTCCCTGGCATCAGGCCTCTCCCCAGCCCCCTGAACCCCCCCTGTCTCCTCCCCAGGGCCATGAAAAGTGTGCCTTGTTGATCCTGGGGGAAACCCAAGACCTTGGCCTTATCAATGCAAGTAACAGTGCTCTGCAGATGTGAGTATTCACACAGGGGGGAAACGGGAAATGTGGGAACGGGCGAGCTCGGGGGCAGCTGAGCTCGGGTCTGCCCTTGAATCCTCTCCAAGGTTTTGGCACGGGGCGCTCCCCGGGGTTTTTGGGGTTCTGATGGCGTTTTCCCCCCCGGCAGGCCGCTGCACATCGCGGCACGGAACGGCCTGGCCGCCGTGGTGCAGGCGCTGCTCAGCCGAGGGGCCACCGTGCTGGCTGTGGATGAAGAAGGTGCGTGTTTTCCCAGGATTGCAGCATTCCTGGGAAGTGCCCAGAGCCCGGGAAATGCTCACCCAAAACATCCTCCTTACCCGAAGCTTCCATTCCTAGTTCATCCCCTCCCAAAAAACTTATATTCCCAGTTCATCCCCTCCCCAAAAAATCCATTCCCAAATCATCCCCTCCCAAAAAAGTCCATTCCCAGTTCATCCCCTTCCCAAAAACTTTCATTCCCAAATCATCCCCTCCCCAAAACTTCCATTCCCAAATCATCCCCTCCCCAAAAAACTTCCATTCCCAGTTCATCCCCTCCCAAAAAAACTTCCACTCCAAATTAATCTCCTCCCAAAAAAACTTCCTCCCAAAAAAACTTCCCACCCCAATAATCCCACCCCACACCCCAATAATCCCACCCTACACCCCAATAATACCGCCCCACACCCCAATAATCCCACCCCACACCCCACTAATCCCACCCCACACCCCACTAATCCCACCCCACACCCCACTAATCCCACCCCACACCCCACTAATCCCACCCCACACCCCACTAATCCCACCCCACACCCCACTAATCCCACCCCACACCCCAATCCCACCCCAATAATCCCACGGCACAATCCCACCCCACACCCCAATAATCCCATCCCACCTCACAATCCCACCCCACACCCCAATCCCACCCCAATAATCCCATCCCACCCCACAATCCCACCCCAGTAATCCCA